CTTGGTTTGCAGATTCCCAGGTGAAGCCAAGCTGTGAATCTAGGCTGCCTGCTTCTGATGCCGGGCCTGGGGTTCACTGAGGCCAGCTATTCCATGTTTGAGAAGATTTAGGAAGTTATGAAGCATGAGTGAGGACCAGCCTTCATGTGGAAAAGAAGCTTGGGTGGTCTCATAACTTCAGTGAGACAGAGTCTCTGGGGGTCTCCAAGGCGTGTCAAATGTTGTTAGCCAGGTTGGTGGAGTCTCAGATATGGTACCAGGTTGCTGGCTCTGTGGGTAGAGGGTTTAGAAAAAGGGACAATGGCCTCTGCTCACCTGGATGCCAGACACTTCAGTTTCTCCCTGTGTGTCACTGTTGTTTTTCAATCTACTGTGCTGGTGCTGGAACTTGAGTAGGTGAGTCTGTGTGTGGATTTTCTAAGAGGAACTGGTTGGTTATCCAGCAGTCTCTTCTACTTACTCAATCTGCCCTGGTTTTTGTAACCAGAAGTTGTGAGGACTTATCTTCCTGGCACCAGAACCCTGGGCTGAGGGGCCTGAGATATCCCTCCCGAATTTTTATCCACCACGTATGGGTGAGAGACCAGCCTGTTCCACCTTAGTACCCCTATTATCAGTCTGGATGGATGTGGTTTCTTTGATTCTGTAGTTGTCAGACTTCCATTTAACTTGATTTCTGACAGTTCTGAGTGATGGTTGTTCTATATTTTAGTTGTGATTTTGATGTGGTTGTGCGAAGAGGCGAACCATGTTTGCTCATGCCACCATCTTGACCAGAGTCTTCAAGATTAGTTGTTTCTTCTGCCTTATGAAATCTGTTATTGAATCCCTCTAATGAATTTTTCAGTTGATTTATTGTATTTTTTCGATCCAGAATTTGTTTCTTTTTAATAGTTTCTGTTTTTCGATATTGTCATTTTGTTCATGCATTGTTTTCATAATTTTATTCAGTTGTCTATCTTTGTTCTCTTTTTACTCATTGGGCATCTTTATGACAGTTATTTTTAATTCTTTTTCTGGAAGCTCATAGATTTACATTTCTTTAGGGTCAGTTTCTAGAGTTTCATTTTGTTCCTTTGATTGGGACATGTTTCCTTGTTTTCTTCATGTGCTTTGTGATGTCTTGTTGTTGAGGCTTGGGCATTTGAAGAACAACCATTTCTCTTTGTGGACCGGCTTTATGCAGGAGAAGACCTTCAATGATCAGTCTAGCTAGAGATTCTAGGACCTCTCAAAGCATTTTAAGGATGTTTCTTCTCTGTGCTTGTGCATATGCTTTTAGTTGTCTCAAATTCCCTAAGGAAGCCAAAATAAAATTCCCTAATGATTTTGTCTCTGCTTCTTTTCAGAAGCCTGTAGTCTTTTGCTCTGCTTGGCCTGTGTCTATGGAACTACAGCTCTAACATGCAGCAGTAGTTGTGTTACTTTTCAGTGGCTTCCAAGCAAGGCCACTAAGAAACCAGTCCCTTGGGTAGCGCCCAGGCAAACAAGAATGTTAGATGCAAGGTCTACTCTTTTGTTTCTATCCTGAGAGAGGATCCACAGTATGGGAGGTTTCTTCCCAGTTTTGCCATGCTACATCAGATAGGGGGATAGGCACGATGAGACATACAAGGTACCGTGAATTTTTGTACCCTTCACTGGGACCTCTTTTTGGTTTTATACTCGTCTGGGTGCTATAACTTCTCAGTTGATCTCTAGAGTTTTGTTGAAGATAATTCTGTTCCATATGTCATTGTTAACTCAGTGATTCTATGTCAGTGTAAGAGCCTGAAGCCCATTAGTCCACCATCTTGCTCATGTTCACCCCATTTGGTTCCTTTTTGGAGCCTGTATTTCTGTGTTGAAATTCTTCATTTTTTCATCCATTTTTGTCCATCTTCCCTTCTAATTTCTTAACACTTATTAATAGTTATTTTTAAATTCCTTCTCTAGTAATTCCAATATCCATGTCATCTATGCATCTTCCTTTGTTGATTTTTTCTGTGATCATTTGTCATATTTTCATATTTCCTCATTTCTCTTTTTAGGCCGTTTATGGCAGAGTGATTTAAATTACCATGGAGATTAGACTAAATGTTATTATTTGCCGGAGAGGGCATGCCCATTCCCCTATCAAACAACTAGAATGGGAGCCTCACCACATCAATCCAAACAAAAGTTAGCTGTGTCAGAGCTGTGTTGCTACTTTTGTTATTTTCTGTTTTACTTTCATTTTGCTGGAATTTTAGCACAGGGGGAGATCTGTCCTATGTGTATTCCAGTTCCCACCTTTTAGCAGCAACTTTAGGTCTGACCAACATGAAATGATGAGTATCCTACTGTGTTCTAGCTCAGGTCCCAGCTTCCTATGTGTCTGTATTTTCAGCAAGTCCCGCCTGTGGGGTAAAATCAGCAGGAGGGTTGAACTGACTGTTTTTTAGCCTTCTACATATTTTAATTCGTCACACTATCCCACAGTTGTTACAAGCCCCATTACATTTCTCTTAGCCCAGCAACATTTGTCTGTGTGTGCCAAGCCTCACCCTGTGTCCCCAGACAACAGAGCTACCCCTAGGAAGGATAGCAGCCACTGGTCTCTGCTCATCTCATTGTTTTTCTCAGGAATATAGTTCATTTAGATGTATCTTTGTATCCATAGTTCTCTGCAATCTTTTCTTAAAACTACATATTTTTGTTTTATCTATTTTCTTGTTATTTTGGAGGGTATAATGGTCTTTGGTAAACCACATCATAACTGGTAGCAGAATTATCAGCTCATATTAATCCATTTAGGAATTGGGATGATTCAGATTTGGGCCCCCCTAATTGTACTCTTAGTCCATATTCTGTTCAGGTCCCAATCCACAGCCTGGAAACAGTTTACCAAGGTCTTTCCCATGTGACAAGCCCTGAATGCTTATTGTGTCACCTAACACCAGTAAGCCCTTTGGGAAATTCTCTTCAACTTCCCAGCCAGTAAGCTTCCTCCTCTGAAACCAGAAAATGCTTTTCTAGGAATACTGTCATTGAATGTCAGGCTCATCTCTGAATTTTCCTCCTTTCTCAGATCTTGACACCACAATTACTTGCTGCTTTGGTAGTTACCTAGTAACTTCCAAAAGATGCTATTTTATTTTGCTCAGCTATTCTAGTTGTTCTCAACAGGATGGTTGGTCTTAACCATCTAGTTCATTAGCAGAAGGAGATTCCCTACTAAGCTTTGGATCTCCACCTACCAAAGTCCTGAGACTGTAGTTTTGAATAAACTGACAGAAGTTCTAGCTCTTTCCACTAGGAGTTTATGAAGATGTATATTCAGTCTCAGTGGACCATTGGAACCATTACTGCTCATTGGTTCTGACAAACTCAGTGGGAAACACTGCTAAGCAGACTAACAGCAGTAGCAGATTGACTTCTTCAGGGTTTCTGGAAAATCAGTAATAATAGTCACAGTGTATTACTTTAAAGAACCTTCTGCACACCACAAGCAGCTATGGTGTACTCTTTCATGAGTTTCTCCTTGACTACTTACATGTAGGGAGGGTGTTTATAATCCTCCATCATTTGTGTTCCATATGGATTATGGTATGGGGCCCAGATACATTCTGCTGGGTGGGAAAGAGAGAGAGGAGAGCTAGATTTTATGCTGCTGTATCGCAATGTGCCAGTGGGGTCTCACAGTGCCAGAAGCCCTCAACCTGGATGCTACAGTGAACCCACTAAGAGCTTGAGTTTATGTGTATTTGGGGTGAGAAGTAGGTAGAGGTGGATTGGTTGGCCTTAGTAGTAAGCAAAGCTGATTCTCCCACACAGCATGAAAATGCAAGTAATTGTGAATTTCTTACCTTCCACCCCCAGGGAAGAGAATGGGAAGTGAGTGCCACTGGTGAACACTGAGTTAGCACAAGTAAACATTTAGATGAGTAACCCCACCTACATACTGAATCTAATAGAGTCATCAAAGAGTCTGCAGTTCCTTTTCCTCAGGCTTTGTGATCAGTGTTCAATCTCACTGGCAACTTCCTGACTGAAAACAGTATTAATTCGCTATTACCCTGGTCTGGGGAACAAACATAAGGATCTTGAGGTCCCAAAGCTTCTGTTAAGTTTGTAGAAGTGGCCTCAGATTTTCTGTGAGATAGAATATACTGGCTCTGCAAATGTACTTCCAGTTTCCTCTCCACATGGACTCAATTTGAACTCTATCCACGTTGAAGTTGAGCTACTAAGTGAATTATAGGAATGTTTAACCTTTGAAGCATGCCATATCCCCAAATTTCTATTAAAACTATAGATAACTTCTGATTATGACAATTCAGCATCAAAAACTGAGCCACTTCTTGGTACATGTCCAAAGGAAATTAAATATGGATCGGATCTGAAAATGATATCTGCACTCCTATGCTCATTGCAGCATTATTCACAATAGCTAAGATACTAAAACAACCTAAATGCCTGCCAGTGGACAAACGGATAAAGAAAACGTGATATGTGTGTATGCATGAGTATATAAATATCATTTTCATCAACATAGATGAACCTGGGGAATATTATGCTAAGTGAAATGACCAGATACAGAAAGGCAAATACCATATGATCTCACTTATATGTGGAATCTAAAATCTAATATGTGGAAGTCAAATTCATAGAAGCAGAGCGTAGAATGGTGGTTGCCAGGGGTGGGTTGGTGGAGGAGAAACTGAGGAAGTGTTGGTCAGAGGGTACAAAGTTTCAGGATCACTTCTGGAGATCTAATGTGCAACATGGTGACTAAAAATAACAATACTGTATTATAACGTGCATTTTGCTAAGAAAGTAAATCTTAAGTGTTCTCACCACAAACATGGTAATTATGTGAGTTGATGAATATGTTAATTAGCTTGAGTTAGGTAATCATTTCACAATGTGTCAAAATATCCATTTGTAAATCTTAAATATATGTTATTCCTATTTTCCAGTTATACCTCAGGAAAGTTGGAAACAAAAAAAAAAACTGACTTGAATTGATTGTCTTTCAGGTATGAGAGAATTGAAATCCCAATCCATATTGTACCTCATGTAACCATTGGGAAAGTGTGCCTTGAATCAGCAGTTGAGCTGCCCAAGATCCTGTGCCAAGAGGAGCAGGATGCATATAGAAGGATCCACAGGTAGAAACTTTCCTTGCTCCTCTTCTCCACTTCTAGATCCCAGTCTCAATTGTCCTCTTCTGTCCTTTTCATCTTAGCAGCTCAACTATTGAGCACACTTTCCTTTTACCTCTCTGTGAGAGTGCTTTATAGCGGTCTTCAAACACTATGTTTCTCACGCTGTATGAAAACAATCTTGTTAACGTTTGTTTTTCTCTTGCTGCACTTTGGATCCTCCAAGGGCAAAGACTTTTTTTGGATGTAAAAAAAGTAATAAATTACAATATCTTAGTAGCCCTGATTCCAAGCACTGGGTCTTGCCCAATACTATGTGAAGGCTTCAGTGAGACAGTAATTTCAAAATCATCTCTTTGAATTATATCAAAATTCTCAATAGAGTCACATCTCAAAAATCATGAAAAATTTAACAGTAATGGGAATTTAAATTATACAAATTCATCTAATCCAGATTGGCAGAGGTCTGGTGCAGTTTATCATTTTGTTATATAGTCCATGACCCTTCACTGCTGCTTTGTTACTAACGTAAACTGTTTTATCCCTTTAGTCTTACACATCTGGACTCGGTGACCAAGATCCATAATGGCTCAGGTAAGATTTTTTTTATTGAGTATAAGCAGTTTTCTCTGAAATACTCAGCCAAAAGGAGTAAATTTTATTTCGGTGACTGAAGTGTTGAGTACAAGTTATCCTCAAGTTTCACTTCCCAAAAGCTTTGCCATTCATTAATCCTGCTCCCAATTTTTCTGTTGAATGCCCTGGACTGGAAGAAAGACAGGAACAAGTTTTATGACAGACCTCCTCAGTGGTGTGCTGGTACATGTTTAATAACCAGTTCTTAGGGAGCAGGAAGGGCCCTGATTTGGTGTTTTTGCCTGTTTCCATGGTACAATACCCTTCCATGGCTCATTTCAAAGCACTAATGTGGCCTCAGTCAGATTGCAAACTTTCTGGAATTTCAACAATTGGCTTTTGTGAGGTAGTCTAAGTTGGTTCTAGCACAGCATCCTATTGTGGTGGGAGTTGAAAGAGATGGATAGACAGACAGACAGATGAGAGAGAGGGCATGAGGGAGGAAATTGTTTCATGCTAATAAATATAGAAGGAAAAGGTATACAAGCCCAGGGAACAGCAAGCTCAATTCAATACATAAAATTACATTTCTGCAACATACACAGCTGTACACCCACACTTCCTCTCTAACCCTGACTCTTAGGCCATTCTGTGCAATCTTCCCCAGTGGCTGACAAAGCCACCAGTGAAGAAGAAGGGGAGGCTTTCAGTGTTACAGGTAATTATTCTGCAGAGAAAAGAAGAGAGAGATGGCTCAGTATATTTGTCCCATAATTTCTGTCTAGTGGTAAAACCTGACAAATAGTTAAAAGTTGGTAATATACCAAACTCTGTCCAGAAAGTGCCCAGCCATTTACTATGAAATATAGAAACATTTATGGGAGAAGATACAAGAAACATACATAGGACAATGATGCCTCAGTCCCCTTCAAAATAGGCACCTTGAGACCTAACACAGTTGTCCCAGCATCTCTTCCACTGTTCAAAATACTCTGCAAAATCCTTTGTTGGAGTCCTTATCAGCTGCCCGTCGTATTTTTTTGGAAACTCACTAATGGTCTGAAATCCTTTCCCTTTCAAAGGTGATTTTAGTTTTTGGAGAAGCCAGGAGCTGCAGGGTGCAAAATCTGGGCTGTGTGGGGGCTGAATCACCTGGGTGATTTAATGTTTTCCCAGAAAACTTGAACAAGACATGATGCATGAGTAGGCTTGTTGTAATGAAGCTGCCAATCACCAGTTACCCATAGCTGCAGCCATTTTCATCATATTGCATCTCTCAATTGATGAACACTGAGGTAGTATTTCTTATTGTTTGGCCTGGAGCAGCATACTTGTGATGGACAACACCTTTCCAATAAAAAAAATACAGTCTTAATCTTGCTGCAACTTTGCCATGTCTTCTTTAAGCATGGAAACCAGGCAATTTCCATTGGAATGACTGAGCCTTCATTTCTGGATCATAGCCATAGACCCACGATTCACCTCCAGTTATGACCTTCTTGAGGAAATCTAGGTCGTTGATAGTGGTTTGAATCAAGTCATTAGCATCTGCAGCATGATATTCCTTCTGCTGTGGAAGCAGAAGCCACAGAATGAATTTTGCCACAAAATGTGTCGTGCCAAGATCCTGAGTCAAAATCTTGGACACAGTAGTTTTTGTAACCTCCAGATCAGCTTCTAGTTTTTGCACTGTCAGTTGCCAATCTTTGTGGATTGCAGCCTGTACATGTTCAACATTCTCAGGTGTTCCGCTTGTTGTAGGCCTTCCAAAACAAGGATCACTTTCAACAGATTCTCAACCATCTTTGAAGTGTTTGTGCCACACTTTTATTTGCACAATACTCATTGCATTATCCACAAAAGCCTTTTGAATCATCTGAATAGTTTCCATGGAAGAATGTTCAAGCTTAACACAAAATTCGATGCAGATTCGTTGCTCTACTCAATCATTTTGAATGCAGTGGCCACACAGTATACATGCTAAGTCAATGGCATCTACCACCCTCACTGACTAGTACAGTAAAGTCATCATTGTTAATGCATGCACATTCCAGTCTACTGTCCTTGGCTGCCAGGTTATGTTAGTGTCATGCAAACTGTCCTATTAACAATGGCTGGGCTTTTTCTGGACAGACATCATATAAAATGTAGCCATTCTCTAAAGCCAAAGTATTGTAGTTTAAGTCATAAGTAGACAAAGTAAAGAACTAAGTAAAGCCAAGACATAGGGATGTGTATGTGTATGAATTTATATTTAAGAAAGATATTACTTCAAAACAATTTTAAAAGGATGAATTATGTACTAAATAGTACTGGGATGGTTCATCTTTTAGTTTATTCCTTCAAGAAACATTTGAGTACCTACTCTCAGCTGAGTACTATTCCAGGACTAGGTCACAGTCCTGAACAAAAGAGACAGTCTTAATCTTCATGGACTTATTATGTATTCGATTTCCATTAGGGGGAAATAGATTCCTAGCTAACTTCCTATACAAAAATAAATTCCAGCTATATTTAAATTTTTACTGTTAAATATGGTACAACCACTTTGGCAAAAGGGTTAGCAATTACAATTACAATTACCAAATGCCCCACCAGTTCCTCTTCTAGGCATATACCCCAAAGAGTTGAAAGCGCATTTTCAAACAGAAACATGTACAGGAACATTCATAGCAGCATAATTCACAATAGCCAAAGAGTGGAAACACCCAAGTGTCTGACAGTGGGTGAATGGACAAAGTGTAATCCATCCATAGAACGAGTACTGCTCAGCAACAAAAAGTAAAAGCTACTCTACTGATACATGAACAACCTGGATGTATCACAACAGCAGTATGCCAAGTGAAAGAAGCACCACACAAAATGCTATATATTCTATAGTTCCATTTATATGAAGTTCAAGAATAGGCCAAATTATCCTATGGTGACAGCAAGCACATTAGTAGCTGCTGGGGCCAGAGGTAAAGGTGCACTGACTGCAAAGGTACCTGCAGAGGAGCCTGTAGGCTGATAGAAGTGATTTGTACCTTGACTAGGAGTGGTTACAAGGTGTGTGCACTTGTCAAAACTTATTGAACTGTATATTTAAAATAGGTTCATTTTTATATGTTTTATTATTTATGCTATTACAGTTGTCCCATTTCCCCGCTTTATTCCCCTCCACCCTGCACACCCCCTGCCATCCACATTCCCCCGCTTTAGTTCATGTCCATGTGTCTTAAGTTCTTTAGCTTCTGCATTTCCCATGCTATGCTTGCCCTCCCCCTGTCTATTTTCTCCCTACCATCTGTGCTACTTATTCTCTATACCTTCTCCCCCCTCTCCTCCTCCCATTCCCTGTTCCTAACACTCCATGGGATCTCCATTTCTGTGGCTCTGTGCCTGATCTAGCTGTCCGTTTAGTTTGCTTTTGTTTTGGGTGTGGTTGTTAATAACTGTGAGTTTGCTGTTCTTTCACTGTTCATCTTTTTTATCTTCTTTTTCTTAGGTAAGTCCCTTTAACATTTCATGTAATAAGGGCTTGGTGATGATGAACTCCTTGAATTTGGTCTTATCTGAGAAGCACTTTATCTTCCCTTCCATTCTAAATGCAAGCTTTGCTGGGTAGAGCAATCTTGGATGTAGGTCCTTGCCTGTCATGGCTTGGAATACTTCTTTCCAGCCCCTTCTTGCCTGCAAGGTCTCTTTTGAGAAATCAGCTTGACAGTCTGATGGGAACTCCTTTGTAGATGACTGTCCCATTATCTCTTGCTGGTTCTAGAATTCTTTTATTTTAATCTTGGTTAATGTAATTATGATGTGCCTTGGTGTGTTCCTCCTTGGGTCCACCTTCTTTGGGACTCTCTGAGCTTCCTGGATTTCCTGGAAGTCTATTTCCTTTGCCAGACTGAGGAAGTTCTCCTTTATTATTTGTTCAAATAAGGTTTCCACTCGTGGCTGTTCTTCTTCCCCTTCTGATACCTTTATAATTTGGATGTTGGAACATTTAAAGATGTCCTGGATGTTCCTAAGTCTCTCCCCATTTTTTTTTGAATTCTTGTCTCTTCATTCTTTTCTGTTTGGTTGTTTCTTTCTTCCTTCTGGTCCACTCCATTGATTTCAGTCCCAGTTTTCTTTCTATCACTATTGGTTTCCTGTGCATTTTTCTTAATTTCACTTAGTGTAGCCTTCATTTTTTCATCTAATTTGTGACCCAAATCAACTAGTTCTGTGAGCATCCTGATCACCAATGTTTTGAACCATGCATCTGATAGGTGGGCTATTTTTTGGCCGCTTAAGAGTATTGGCTCTGGGGCTTTGATTTTTTCTTCCATGTGAGCCATTGGGGGGGGGGGTCAGTCTGGTCGTGCCTGTTACATATGAGGGGCATAGCCTTAGGTGTTCACCAGGGTGGGGCAACCTAGTGGCTGGATTGCAAACCCTGTGTGTGGGGGTGGGGTCCAAGAGGGAACAATGGTGCTTGCTCTGCTCTCTCTCGGATTTCAGTGCCCTCTGCCGCTTCTCCCAAGCAAATTGGGTGCTTTTGGTGCTGGTTCCCAGGTGGGTGGGCTTGTGCACATTCTAGGACCCTGTGGGTCTCTCCAACAAACTCTCCTGTGAGGCTGGGAGTCTCTCCTGGCACCTCTACCCCCACAAGTGTTTTTAATTGGTTCTTTTAGGCTTTATTTCCTCATGCTGGGGCCCTGGGTTGTGCAGTCTATCTCGCTGCCCCTTTTTGCCTGGTTTATTTGTGCACAAATGTGTGATCGTGGTCTGCCAGCCACCTTGTGTGCCTCACTAGGTCTGCTTGTTGCCTCCCCATGTCTGGGGTCTGCTAGCTGCTGCCTGCACACCCTGGGTCTGCCAACTGACACTTTTTCCTGCCAGGACCCCTCTCCACTGCTGCCGACTCCACCCCTCTTACCAGTCTGGATGAATGGTTGTCGGACTTCTGTACAGTTCAACTTTCTGTCTGTTGGTTGTTCTTTTGTTTCTAAATTTTTGTTGTCCTTAATTTTGGTTGCGCGAGGAGGGACAGTATGTCCACCTATACCTCCATCTTGGCCAGAAGTCCTAAAATAGGTTCATTTTATTGTCTGTAAATTATACTGTTGTAAAGCTCACTTTAAAAGGAAAAAAATACAGCCATGGCTGGTGCAATTCAGTGGATTGAGCACTGGCCTGTGAACCAAAGGGATGTGGTTTCAATTCCCAGTCAGGGCACATGCCTGGGTTGTGAGCCAGGTCCCCAGTAGGGGGTGTACAAGAGGCAACCACACATTGATGTTTCTCTCGCTCTCTTTGTCCCTCCCTTTCCCTCTGTCTAAAAATAAAATAAATAAAATCTTTTTTAAAAAGGGAAGAAAATATAAGAGGGTATTTTTCAAACTCTAAGGAGGTAATGTCCTAAATATAATCTGAAACTCTGAACTCAGAAAGAAAAGAAATATAAATTAAAGACTTTTATAGACCCCTACAGAAAAATCAAATTGTTCATAATAATTTTGAAAAGAAGTATGGATTAAGACAAAATTATAAGTTTTTCACATTTTTCTTTTGGCAAAGATTAAACTGAGAAAAGTAAACATATCCATGTACTGTTCCTGCAGGTATAATTTAGTATAATCTAGAAAATGCTGGATAATCAGGTTTTAAATATGCAAGGACTTGTTTATAGCAACTCCACTTTCAGAAATGTATCTATCAAAATTTTGTAGGACAAGGGTACAAAAATAAATTGAAAGGGTATTAACTGCAGTCTTTATAATAGCAAAATACCAGATGCCATTGAAACGTCTGTCAGTAGAGGATTTATTAAATTGGTGCATACGTTCCAATGAATATTGTAGAGCTCTTAAGAAGGAAAGCTAGATCTTTGCTGAAACAGAAAGCTGTCTATAGCATATTGTTCTGTGAGGAAAAAGTAACATCCAAAATCAGTTTTTATTCTAAAGTATGCATACACTCATGTATATGCATACACATATATGCATATCTTGGGAGATATATCCCACCATATTACAGTGGTCATTTTCAGTAAGTCATGTACTATGAGAGAGAAAAAGATACTTCTGTTAGGTGGAATTTATTTAAAAATTTAGTGACATCAAATCCTTGTCTCACTGTGAAGCTAACCATTCATAGTAAGTCATGAAAGATGATAAAACTCTCTTACTCTTCATCTCTGGTTTTTCCTCATTTTAAAGGAGGAGATTTCAAGCAAGTTAAAGTAATGTATTTATTTCTTCCATGTACATAACATTTGCAAAGCAGTTTTCCCACTGGACTTGTGGAAAACTAAGTTACAGAAGGCAGAGTTCTAGCTATCTAGGAAGTTATTGTTATTTACACTGTGGGAAGGGCTGAGGGTTTGGAAAAGAAACCCTTCTATAGATAGCTTTTAGCCTTTTTGCCTAAAGGAGTAAGGAGCTGGTCATTTTCTGCTCTCTACTTAGCTAGGCTTCCCTCTGGCCTACAGATGCAGGGACGTTCAGGAATGCCTCAGAATAGGTAACTTTGCTCAGCTGTTTTTTCTTTCCTCTGGCCGGCTGTACACAATTGTCTACCATTCCTACTTACTGCACTTTTTCTACTTCCTCCTCCAACTCCTTCCTTCTGTGCTCACAGTTGAGGGGCTGCTTTCGGTGGAGGGTTATCTCATGTGTTTTTTCTATTGAAGTGTTTACCAAGAACCTGTGCAGTCAGATGTCAGCAGTCAGCGGGCCTCTCCTACAGTGGTTGGAGGACAGACTGGAGCAAAATCAGCAGCATTTGCAGGAGTTGGAACAAGAAAAGGAAGAGCTTATGCAAGAACTTTCTTCTCTAGAATAAAGTGGAAGACAAAATGGGGTAAAATTTTTTTTCAGTGATCCGAAAATTCATACACCTCATTTGTAGGCAGACAATAGAGCATCTCTTTTTATATCCCAATGGATGAGTTTTATGTATGGAATAAACACAAGACATCTTCCTAAAAGTTTTATTGGGGCTTAATGAACACTCTACCTGTAACTGGCTTAGAAAAAACATTGCAATATTATTTAAGGAGAACATTAAAGGTTATTTTTAAAGGCTATGGAGTGTGCATTGGCAAGAATAGCTTGTAATACAATTTCTGGGGAGACTACATTTCAAATTTTTATTGTCCCCTTGTTTAACTTGGAAATATTTATATTCATTTTTAGAGGCACTCACTCCCTAGAATAAACTGAAGGAAGAAGAGTATTTAATGTTTCAGTTTTGTAGTTATGACGTATATGTTACATATAAGTACACAAGGATTATGTCTTCCTTCGTGATCCTTGAAATATATATTCTGAGATATGTATCAGAATTGAATCTATGTGAGTGCCTTTCTAACCAAATAGGTGAGTTCTAGCGTATTTGGTTCTAAAGTAAAATTGTATCAAGAAGGTCCTATTTACATAGGAACTTATATTATAGTATGGAAGTTTATAATTACATTATAAATGTGTTTTTTCAGAGGTATTCAGGATTTAGAATATAACAAAAACCATCCTTTTATAAAGTTCTGTTGTATTATTCTTACCATGTATAACCACAAATAGTGTGTCTTCAGAAAAGAGTCAAGCCTATTGTATACTGGAAATTAGTGGGAACTGGAGTAGGTATAAAGAAAATAAACAAGAGCCCCAATCCCAACATCAGTGACAAAGTGTTAGGTTTTGTTTTTGTTTCTTGTTTCTCCTTAGATTATTGTTTTCATGTTTTAAAATATAGTCCAGAACCACTTGCGCCAGAATTACTTGGGGGTCAAACTGCATCTCTGGGTGGAACCTAGGCATTTTCATGAACTCCCCAGCTGATTCTAAGGCAAACCACTACCCTAGGGTATATGCAGTATAAATGCGGTATTTTCCCTAATTTTTCACAGCCACAGTTCTTCTCTATTTTTTCTTTCCCTATAGGAAATAATGAAAGCATCCAGGTGTAAAATTAAATAAGTTAAATCAGTTTTGAAGAAAAAGTTGGAAGAACTCACATTACCTGACTTCAAGACTTATTATAAAGCAGTAGTAAGCAAGATGATACAGTATGTGACCAACTGATTTTTGACAAGGTGCAAAAATCCTTCCGCAGTGGAGGAAGGATAGTCACTTCAACAAATGACACTGGAAAAATTGGACACCTGAAGGCAAAAAATTAACTTTGACATAAAATGCAGTTTATATAAAAATTAACTCAAAATCTATAACATGTAAAACTATAAAAATTTTAGAATTAAAATCATAGCAAAATTTTCATGATCTTGGGCTAGGCAACAAGTTCTTAGCCTTCACCTCCAAAGTACAATCCTAAAAGGAAAAGTTTGACTTTATCAAAATGAAAAAGTTTTGCTCTGCAAATATTTAAGAGGAAATTATTCAGGTAATTATTCGAAACCATATATCTGATCAATCTAGAATATATAACAGTAAAAACCAACAATCCAATTAGAAAATGAGCAAAAGATATTTCACTAAATAGGATAACATGGATAGCAAGCAAGCACAGGAAAAGATCTTGAACTTCATTAGTCATCAGGGAATACAAGTTAAAATCACAGTGATTTATTACTATGTATTTATCAGAACAGCTAAAGAAAAAATTTTGAAAATACCAGATGCTATTGAGCATGCAAACTGAATCTCATGCATGGCTGATAGGAAAGTAAAATGATTTTTCAATAAAGTTAAATATATATATATATATATATATATATATATATATATATATATATATATATATATCATATGACCCAGCCATAATTCCTACACATTTATCACAGAGAAATGAAAACCTGTGTTGGCAAGAAAACTTGTACACAAATCAAATGTTCTTATCTTCATTTGTAATAGCCCAAAACTCGAAGCAACCCACATGTCCTGCAATTGAATAGTTAAACCATTGACACCAATCACCCATACCATGGAATACTACTACTCTTTAATCAGGAGTAGACTATTGACGCATACAACTTGAATGGACCTCAAAGGTATCCTGATGAATATTTTAAAAAGCAGTCTCAAAAGGTCACATACTGTATAATTGATTTATATAACTTCCTTGAAATGACAAAATTACAGAAACAACAGATTAATAGTTGTCAGATATAGGGACTGGAGGGGTATGGAACATATGTGTTAAGGGATAACACAGGGAATTTCTTTGTACTGAGGGAACAGTTTTGTGTTTTGATTGTGCTGTTGATTTAGTGAATTTATACCTATACTAAAACTACACAGATGTACACACACCTAAAAATTAATACATGTAAAATCGAAATAAGGTCTGCAATCTAGTAAGTAGTATTGTACCATTTTCAATATGTTAATTTTGAAGTAGCACTATATTTATGTAAGCTCTTATTAATGGAAGGTTTTGGGTGAAGGGTACATGGGACTTACTGTACTATTTGCAACTTCCTGTAAAACTATAATTATTGCAGAATAAAAATGTATAGCCCTGGCTGGTGTGGCTCATTGGATTGAGTGCCAGCCTGCAAACCAGAGGGTAGCCAGTTCAATTCCCAGTCAGGGCATATGCCTGGGTTGCAGGCCAGGCCCCCAGTAGGGGGTGCATAAGAAGCAACCATAAATTGATGTTTCTCTCCCCCTGTTTCTACCTCCTCCTCTCTCTCTAAATAAATAAATAAAATATTTTTAAAGTTACAAGTATTAAATCAGGTACTAGAAATTATAGTACTTATGAAATAAGAGTGATAAAAAAATCTAAGGGCAATAAAATGATTTGAATATTTTTACAGGCCAACCTTGAGCACATGTTCCCTTTCCTTTCCGGGCTTCGTTTTCTCTTTATAACGTGAAGAGTAGATGACCACCAAGGTTCCTCTTAGCTAAGTGTTCAGTCTTTAAGTGTTAAGCATTACAAGGAACAGTGATATAAACAAGATGTGTCATTACTTACCACCTGCACCAATCTGGCTTACACCATATATTTGAATTCCGCTCACAACCCTGTATTCCCTTCTAGTTAGCAGATTCTGTGTTAAATCATAGCCAAGACTCTGATGGGAACAATAATAATTTGTTTTCTTTGTTTTCACATACCCTAGTTATTCAGTTCATTGCATTCTGACCTTTGCCCATACCACTCCATTCAAACCACTCCTGCCAAAGTCACCATTGTTCTCCACACAGTAAAAGTCAATAGATGCCTTTCCTGTCCTTAATGAATCTCTCAGTCTTACACAATTGGCCACTGTGGCTTGAAATTTCTCTCTCTTGTCTTGTGCTATTATAATCTTTTCTGGTATTTCTCCTCTCTGGCTGTTTCTTCTCAAATTCGTTCAAAGGCTTTGCTATCATTGTTTATATGCAGGTGACAGACAAATCTATTTCTCCATCTAGACCTTTATTTGAACTCTAGACCTACATTTACACCTTCCTACTGTTACCAAACAAGAGGAGGTGGAGGTCCGAGGGAGGGGCAATACAATATTTGGCCCACCTAGGGATGCCCAAAACTGCTATACAACAGGGGCCCCTCCCGAAAACAAAGTACTAAAATCTACTGGGCCCTTCTGTCCGCCGCCAATTGGAAAGACATCTCTTAAAGCCAGAGATTTGTGAAAAGGAAACAAAATGTTTATTTAATGCTATTCAGGCCTAATGCCATCACTAAAATATCAAAGTCCTTTAGGTTGTACACCTACACCCACACAGCGCTCCCTTCTCCCACTGTCCCAACTCCGGGTACCGTAAATCAGGAAAAGAGCACACGTCTGTGTTGCAGGCCACTGGCACCGTCAGCTGTGTCACTGTGCAGGCAGGATCTCGAGTTAATCCAAAGTACTGTGGTACCCTCTCATGGTCCACTGGCAAGAGTCCTTTGTACCCAGTTCCAGTCAAAGTCTCTCTTGCTTTTTCAGGCCCCGCGGCCAAGGGGCACCCCAAAGCCGCGTGGGCCTCTTCTACCAAGGCTGCAGGAGTCCGCACTCCACCAAAAGCATGTGGCTGTCTTCTTCACCTGGCTGCAGGGATCTCCATTCTGGCAAAGCTGCGTGGTTTTTCCCTTTTACCTGGGAAAGGGGGGGGTCCACACTCCGCCAAAACCACGTGGCTCCCTCTTTCACCTCACCAACAGGGGGTCCTCACTCTGCTGAAACCGCGTGGCTCTCTCTCCCAGGCCTTCCCACTCAGGAGCGCAGCCCCTAGTTACATTCTGAGTCCAAGCCCTTCTCATTCAGGAGTGCAGACCTTAGTTCCCATCTTGAGTTCCCCAAGTTCCATCCTGAGTCCCTTCTCACTCAGAAGCGCAGCTCCTAGTTCCCATCTTGAGTCCCCGCCACAACCTTCTCTCTCAGTCCTTGCTAGTTCCTTCTTCCTGGCTCCAAACTTGGCCACTGCTATTTAACATATCTATGAAACCAGTTAAAGGTTATAGATATGTTAAATAACCATTCCTCCAGAGGTTAGCTCCAAAACTGTTGCTATGCAAAATAGCTCTCAATGGCCTGGCTCCATTCATCCCTTCCCCCCCTGGGGGGGGGCGGGGAGGACATCTTATATGTCTCTCCAATATTTCTATACACTTTGAATTCTGGACACCATTCCAAATCTTTTGGGCCCCCCCCACCCCGGCTGCACCCTGTATCACTACTATATATGTCCACTCAGCTGTCTTGGTGGCACATCAGCCAGGAATCAGTTAAAGTAAACAAATAAGTGAATTAATTGAGCAAATAAATAAATATTGATGAAAAAGGGTAAGATAGGTTTTTCAGTGTCAGAGAAACAATTTATAAATGTGACAACAGGGAGGGAGGGTAAAGTGAACCTCATGGTGTTGGAGTGAAATTAGAAGCATTGATATAAACTTTTTTCAAAAAAAAAAATAGACTCAATCCAAGATGTCAGCAGAGTAGGAGGAAGTTGCTCTTAACCTCCTTCCAGGACCAAACTGGAATTAAAACTAAAATATCAAACAATCAACCTGAAAAACCAACTGAAGACTAGCTGAACAGAAGTCTTACCACCAAAGATTTACAGAAGCCATATGGAGACTGGTAGGAAGGACAGAGACATGGACAGTAGCTGAGATTCGGGAGGGATATCCCAGCTGCAAAGGTCCCCCATGAAAAGCATGGGGTCTTAACCCCATGCGGGGCTCCTCAGCCCAGAGCACCAGAGCCAGGAAATGGAGCCCACATAATATGTGGCTGTGAAAATCAGCAGGAATTCAGTCTGCCAGGAAGTGATGGGATTCTGTTAGAAACCCAGGTGCCCTCTTAAAGGGCCAGTGCACAAAATCCCATTTATAGCCATTCACCCTAGGCTCTGGCAGAAAGAGAGTAGAGTGGATTAGAGTCTAGGGAGGAGATTGGGGTGTGTGGCTCTGGGGAGAGAGCTGAAGGGACAGCTGATAGGGTCACTGTGCTGAATCCCTCTCCCACACCAAAGATGATATCTTTCTTGGATCAAGAACTCCCCTCCGTCTGGCATCAGCATGAGGGAATGCACTACCCCCATACTTCTGACTTCCCCTTGCAACACCCTGCAGAGCACATTCCCTTCAGAGGAGCCAGTTGCCTGAGCCCATGGTGTAGAGGACTACACCAAGTCCAAGAGGACGCAGGAAGTGTCAAAGACTGTGTTGTGGCACTGGGGCAGGCCCTTCCTTTCCAAAAGCCTAATGTGCACCACCCCCCATAGGAGATCTACTAGTTCCACTCTCCTGACCCCTGTCCCCTTCTGCCAAGCTAAGGCATTCAAGGAGGTCTGGGCAGAATCCAGGAGAGACTTGAGTTTTATGGCTCTAGGGCAGGGGCAATTCCCCCGTTTCATGCAAGCCTGACCTGCACCACCCCTCCAGTGGAGATCCACTAGCCACATCCTCCTAATTGCTGGGGGCCCAGACCTGCTGACCTCAGGCTCTTGAAGAGGCCCAGGCACAATCCAGGAGAGACTGGTCTGACTCTAGGGCAGGTGCTATGTTTCCCTCATATGCTTGACTGGTGCCACTGTGCCTCTGCAGAGCCCTGCCTTTATATGGCCAAATCTTGGTCTGTTTGTATCTGAATTCTGCTGGCCTACTCCTGCTGAATCCCCGAGACCCTTCCACACCAAAAAGGTCTGTGGGCACGTGCGGGTAGCAGCTGGCCTTGGTGTATCCTAGGACATTTGCTGAGTGACCTCAGACCTAGCACTGAGATCAAGTTTAAATCTGTATCAATCTGGTGAACATCATTTGCCCCCTACCTAGTGACCCATGAGAACCTACCTCATGCAACTTGGGTACCACTAGAGGCCCTTTCAGTGACTGAGCCTAACAGGCAGCTGGCAGGTGGACACAGTTGAAGGTGTATCTTGGGGTGCCTTTTGCTGATTTGCCCCCATGCTCAGTGATGGTGGAAGCCAGCCGTGGTGCTCAGCTTGGCCCTTCCCATATATACTCAGGACCAGCAGAGGCAGCCACAATCTGTGGATAGCTTTTCAGCTCCAAATAGGTAGCCCAGGGGCAGTCACAGGCAGTGTCTGATATTGGATGCACCGGAGTCAATCCCAAGAGGCCCCAGAACCAGTACACCAGGTGGCAGGCATCAGAAAACATCAGAGCAGGACCCAATTAACTCCAAAAGCAGCACATCCAAAGGTAGATCACAGCAAGTGCTAGAATCTGCTAGGGCAAATTCTGCTTCATGTGGTAGCATCTGCACAGCAGCCCTTACACTGTGGTTGGGGGTCAGTCCTCACAGTCAGCCACCCTGATGATTGACCCTGAGCACAGATGGAGCAATAGCAATCAAGACTTTTAATTATAGTAGAAGAGTTCACATAACCCATATGAAGAATATTCCTGGAGCACCTTGAGTATGCTGCACTATTGAGCCCAACACTATACCAACCATATAAGGTCATCATAATGAGATTGGGAGACATAGCATATCTAACTCATACACAGAACAAACACAGAGAGGCAGAAAAAAATGGGGAGACAAAGAAACATGCTCCAAATGAAAGAACAGGATAAATGCCCAGGGAAGGACCTAAATCAAATGTAGAAAAGCAATCTACGAGATACAGAGTTCAAAAGAATGGTTGCAAGAATGTTCAAGTAACTGAGAGGGAGAATGGATGATTTCAGCAAGAACATAAGGAAATTGTAAGCATGAAAAAGGACGTAGAAGCCATAAAAAAAGAAATGAAGAAGACGATATCTATAATGAAGAATATACAAGAAGGAATCGATAGGTTTGATGAAGCACAGCAATGACTCGCTGTGCTTCAGCGAGTCATTTGGAAGAGAACATAGAAAACACAATCAGAGCAGATAAAACAAAAAAAGTATTTCTTTTAAAAAAGAGGATAGTTGAAAGGGCATTTGGGACAACATGATGTGTTACAACATCTGCATTATATGGGTACCAGAAGAAGAAAGGAGAGATTAAGGAATTGAAAACCTATTTACAGAAATAATGATTGAAAACTTCCCTAATCTGGTGAAGGAAAAAGGCACATAAAACCAGAAAGTACAGAGTCCCTAACAAGATGAACCCCAAACAGGCCCAGAAAACACATCATAATTAAAATGCCAAAGGTTAAAGAATCTTAAAAGCAGGAAGAGAAAGACAGTTACCTACATGTGGGCTCCCATAAGACTGTCAGCTGTTAACAGAAATATTTCAGTCTAGAAGGGAGTGGTACAAAATCTTCAAAGTAATGAAAAGCAAGGACCAACAACCAAGACTACATTACCCAGCTAGGCTACCATTAAAATTGAAGGAGCCTATATACCCCAATGTTCATAGCAGCATTATTTACAATAGCCAAGTACTGGAAGCAACCTAAGTGTCCATCAGTTATGTGAGTGGATAAAAGAACTATGGTACACTTACACAATGGAATACTACACAGCAGAAAGAAAGAAGGAGCTCCTACCCTTTGCAACAACAGCATGGATGGAACTGGAGAGCATTCTGCTAAATGAAGTACACCAGGCGGTGAAAGACAAATACCATGTGATCTCACCTCTAACTGGAACCTAATCAATAAAACAAGTGAGCAAAATATAATCAGAGACATGGAAATAAAGAACAAACTGACAGTAACGAGAGGGGAGAGGGGAGAGGCATAATGGAGGAAAGAAGAGTAAGGGTCATCAAGGAACATCTGTAAAAGACCCATGGACAAAGCCAAAGGGAGGTAGGATTGAGGGTGGCAAGCAGGGGTCTGTGGAGTGGGGTAAAGTGGTGATGATAAAATGGAAACAACTGTACTTGAACAATAAAAAAAAAGAAGTACAAATGGGTAATTAGAAAGTAGTCACAGGGATGTGAAGTATAGCCTAGGGAATAGTCAATAATATTGAAATAATTATGTATGGTATCAGGTGGGTACTAGATTTACCAGAGTGATAACTTAGTAAATTATATAATGTGTAATCACTGGGTTGTACACCTCACACTAATACAAATATTGCATGTCAACTGTAACAGAAAAATAAAAAATTATGTAATATCAGAAAAAGAAAACTTACAAAGTTATCATCCCAGCTTCAACCAGAAAAGATAAACTAAAATAAACTTGAAGGAGAAATAAAGAGCTTCCCAGACAAGAAAAAGCTAAAGTAGTACACTATCACCAAACCAGTATTATAATAAATGTTAAACAGTCTTCTTTTTTAAAAGATTTTATTTATTTATTTTTAGAGGGGAAGGGTAGGAGTGAGGGAGAGAAATATCAATGTATGGTTGCCTCTCGTGCGTCCCCTACTGGGAACTGGCCTGCAACTCAGGCCTGACTGGAAATCAAACCTGTGACCCCCTGCTTCACAGGCTTGTGCTCAATCCACTGAGCTACACCAGCCAGGGCTAAACAGTCTTCTTTAATAAGAAGAAACAAAGACAAAGAGAATGACCGTTATAAAGAATAAAATGGCAATAAATATGTACCTATTAATATAACTTGAAATGTAAATGGCTTAAATGCTCCAATCAAGAGCCAAAGGGTAGCTAAATGGATAAGAAAACAAGACCCATATGTATGTTGTGTACAAGAGGCCTGTCTCAGAAGGAAAGACACACACAGGCTAAAAGTAAAGCGATGGAAGATATTTAATGCAAATGTAAATGAAATAACAGCCTGAGTAGCAATACTTATACAAGACAAAATAGACTTTAAAGCAAAGGCTATAATGAGGCAAAGAATGACACTACATAAGTATAAAGGAATCAATCTAACAAGAGGATACAGCTCTTGTAAATATTTATGCACCCAACATAGGAGTTTTTCTAGAAACATATAATCTTCCAAAACTCAATGAAGAAGAAGCAGAAAGCCCGAACAGACTCATAACAGCTAGTGAAATTGAAGCAGTAATCAAAAAACTCCCAGCACACAGAAGCCCTTGACCAGTCGGTTTCACAGGAGAATTTTACAAGACATTTAAGGAAGAGCTAACCCCTGTACTTCTCAAATGATTCCAAAATATCCAAGAAGAGGGAAGACTCCCAAACTCTTTTCATTCTAACCCCAAAACCAGATAAAGACACAACAAAGAAAAAACTATAGGCCAATATCGCTGATGAACCTAGACACTAAAAGCCTCAACAAAATATTGGGAAACCACATCCAGCAATACAATTAAAAGATCCTACACTGTAATCAAGTGGGATTCATCCCAGGGATGTGAAGATGGTACAATATTAGCAAATCAGTAAATGTAGTACATCACATAAACTAAATGAAAGATAAAAATCACATATCAATAAATGCTGAAAAAGCATTTGATAAAAGTATAGCATCAATTTATGATTAAAAAACACTCAGCAATGTGGGTGTAGAGGGAGCATGAATCAACATAATAAAGGCCATACATGAGAAACCTACAGCCAACATCAGACTCAATAAGCAAAAAACTAAAAGCTTTCCCACTAATATCAAGAATAAGACAAGGGTGTCTGCTTTCACTTCTTCTACTCAACATACTAGTGCAAGTCCTAGCCACAGCAATCAGATAAGAAAAAAAGAAATAAAAGGCATCCAAATTAGAGAGGAGGGAGTAAAACAGTCAGTGTTTGCAGATGACATGATAGTGTACACAGAAAACCCTATAGACTCTACCAAAAAACTACTTGACCTAATAAGGGAATCTGGCCAAACAGCAGGATACAAAGCCAATATTTGGAAATGGAAGGCATTTTTGTAAACCAAGAACAAAATATCAGAAACAAAAATTAGGAAAAAAATCACATTTATTATAACAAAAAGAAAAATAAAGTACCTAGGAATAGACCTAATCAAGGAGGTAAAAGGCCAATACTCAGAGAACAACTGAACACTGAAGAAAAAACTAATGAAGTAAAAAATAAATGGAAGCATATACCATGTTCATAGATTGGAAGAATTAACAAAACATTAAAATGTCCAAACTACCCAAAGCATTCTATATATTCAATGCAATCCCTATTGAAACACCAATGACATATTATACAGGTATAGAACAAATATTTCAAAAATTTATCTGGAACCATACATGATCCCAAATAGCCTCAGCAATTTTGAGAAAGAAGAACAAAGTAGGAGGGATCACAATACCTATTATTGGAACATGTATAAAGTCTCCACGGACAAAGATGACGGGGATGGGAGGATTAAATGTGGGGGGTGTGTAGGGTAGGGGAGGGTAATGGGGAAGAATGTGGACAACTGTAATTGAACAACAATACAAAATTTAAAAGGGGGAAAATAATACCTGATATCAGACTATATTACAAGGCCACTGTAATCAGAACAGTCTGGTACTGGCATAAGAACAGACTCAAATCAATGGAACAGAATAGAGAGCCCAGAAATAAACCCATGTCTCTATGGTCAATTAATCTTTAACAAAGGGGACAGGAGCATAAAGTGGAGTAAAAATAGTTGGGAGATCTGTACAGCTACCTGCAAAAAAGGAAACTCGACCACCAACTCGCACCATACACAAAAATAAACTCAAGGTGGAAAAAAGACTTAAATATAAGTGTGACACCGTAAAAGTCCTAGAGGACATTATAGGCAGGAAATCTCAGATATTCCATGCAGCAATATTTCCACTGATATGTCCCCTAGAGCAAGGGATATAAAGGATAGTATAAACAAATGAGTCTTCATCAAAATAAAAAGCTTCTGCATGGCTAAAGAAAACATCAGCAAAATGAAAAAGGAACCAACCATATGGGAACAAGTGGATCAAAAAACTGTGGTACATGTACAGGATGGAATACTACACAGCAGAAAGAAAGAAGGAGCTCCAATCCTACCCTTTGCCTGACAGCATGGATGGAATTGGAGGGCATTATGCTAATAATGCATAGTGAAATAAGCCAGGGGGTAAAAGACAAATACCATATTATCTGACCTATAAGTGGTACCTAATTCAAAAGACAAACAAACAATCAAAATACAATCAGAGACATTGAAATAAAACACAAACTGACAGTAACCAGAGGGGAGGGAGAAGCAGGATAATGGGGGGAAAATAGAGGGCCATCAAGGAACATGTATGAGCGACACATGGACAAAGCCAAAGGGGTAGGTTCCAGGGTGGGTGGGGTGAAAATGGAGATAACCGTACTTGAACAATAATAAAAAAGATAAATAAAATAATCTTGAAAATAAAGAGCAAAAGAAAGTGAATGCAAGTAGAAGGCAAGGAATAATAAAAAACAGAGATCAATGGAATATTAGACTATAGAAAAAAATCAATGAAATCTAAAGGTTCAGAAAAATCAAATTGATAAGTCTCTAGCCAGACCTATCAAGAAAAAAAAAAGAGATAGGACCCTTACATTATCAATATCAGGAACAGATGTTAACGTCACTACAGATTCCAGAGACATTAAAAGGATAATAACAGAATACCATTAAGTGTACGGACTTCTGTATCTCAGCAAATCACCTCAGGAAAGATACAGCCCATATAATATATGATGGAAGCTTCCCTAAAAATGTCCCAGTAAGGATTCCCAAAGTACCATCTTACAATTGCTTAACTTCACAAGATCTGAAGATACCTAGAACTTTCATCTGGAGCCGCCAAAATGTCCCCCTCCCTTATACTACTCATTCAATTATTGTTTCTTTTGAGTGTCTACTACGCAGAGAGTCCACCTTCCGCACTCTGGCCATGCCCCGCCCTAAGCCCGATCCTGTCTTCAGAACTTTTTCTGGGACCCGCGGCCATTTTCCCAACTTTCCTGCAGTACCGCAGCACCTCAGACTTAAAATACCACCTCACGCTATTGCAGATCTGCATCAACCTCCACAAAAAAAGGCATTTGGTGAAAACTTCATGCAGGGCCAGTCCTTTCTTCAGTCCCCATCAGTCACCCCATCAGTCACTAGGGGTACTGTTCCGTTACTTAGTGGGTCCGGAAGGGGCGGGACCAGATTCTGTAGCCATCACCCTCGTGGCTAGCAGTCTCCCACGTGGCTAGCAGTCTCCCACGGCGAAGCACTCATGGGGTCATCTGTGTCGAAGGCTGCCCTCGGGGCCACCACGGAGGAGTTCGTGGAACCCGAACCAAAACACCTAGCTGGTAAGTAGGAGGTCTAATGCAGGTGGCTCATAGATGGCTAGCGTGCTCTAAGTACCGCTAATGGTGGGACTTCACTCGGCTCCCCCTCTTCAGCTTTCTTCTCCATACTCCGCATAGCTGCTAGACCGGTGAGATTGGGTTCTCACTTCTAGTAAATTTTGATTGCACCTAGAAGAGAACCGCTGGGCTTTTAAACTCCAAACTATAATTTTCAAATAACTTAGTACACCAGAGGTGATCAAATAACATCTCAGGTTTCTGAGAAAAGTTTCAATTACAAAGTTCCCCCCCCCCAGGCGCCTTTATAAGTCATGACATTAGAGAGTCTTCCAAAACGAAGGAAAGTCTATCAAGCAGATCTTCCCATAGGTAGTCCTTAACCTAAGGTTCGTGAATATGCAACCTTTTGGCGTCTCGGGGCCACAATGGAAGAAGAGTTATCTTGGGCCACACATTAAATACATCGTGGCACATAATGACAGAAAAAATCTCATAATCTTTTAAATAAATTAAAAATTTTGTGTTGGACAACATTCACAGTCATTCTGAGCTACATGTGGTCCATAGGCTGAAGGTTGGACACCCCTGCTTTAAAGTGTACCTTGCAACATTTTTTTTTTCTGTGTCGGTTTCCAGGGAAAAGTATTTTGATTCTTTTTAAAAATATTTTATTTATTTTTTTAAAAATTTTTTATAGAGAGGGGAAGGGAAGGAGAAAGAGAGGGAGAGAAACATAAACGTGTGGTTGCCTCTCACATGGTCCCCACTGGGGACTGGGCCTGCAACCCAGGCATATGCCCTGACTGGGAATCGAATCACAGCCCACACTCAATCCACTAAGCTACACCGGCCAGGGCTGTTTTGATTCTTAAAGTTACCTTTTGCTCAAAGACAGAATAGCCTCCAGGATCTCCCCACTCCCTATTGTTTGAGGTCACTGTAAACAAGGACTTATTTAAATAGTATGTGCTGATGGCGATATACCTAAATCCTGCTGCTATTGAAACCTGCATGGCTGACTCAGTCTTTTCATCAAATTTTGATGTAAAGATTTAAAAGTAAAGCATTTTACTTTAAAACTCCATTTACTTTACACCAAATCTTGATGTAAAGATTTTAAAGTAAAGCATTTTACTTTAAAACTCCATTGACTTAATATATATTTGCCTTCTGAGATTTTATCTTCTTATCATCATGACAGTGTGCACATATTACAGCAATTTCAAATCCCTGCCACTGCCACTTAACTACTTGTATGTCCTTGGCTATGTTACCTTCTTGAGTCCATTTAATAAGTATTTACCATAACCTGTTATGTGCCAACTATTGTGCTGCGTCTTGGGGGAACAGTGGTGACCAAAATGAGCACAGTCCCTACCCTCATCAAGTATACAGAACTATAGGGTACATAGGCATTAAATATCATGTAACATGTCATTATAAATTATCATACTTGTAATGAAGAAAATGTTTAGATTATTCCTTTTGTCATTACTCTGCAATTTGATTGCATCTGTCTTTAAAATTAAAGTTACCAATTATAATTTTGAAAATTATTTCTCAGTCTATATTTTAATACTTGTCATTTTTTATAATTTAGATCTAATACAGTACATAAATGAAACAAATAAGAGTGTTGAACCCCTGGCTGATGTTCTTTCTGAAAAAACAAGGAGCAGCAGCTGGGTGGTGGTGTTCAAAGCCCTGGTTACTGTGCATCATCTTATGGTGCATGGAAATGAGGTGAGCATGGTGGGTATAGAAATGGTAGTCATTTACAACTACAGCAGTGTTCTTGGTTTGACAAAGGCTTACCACATTGTACTTTAAATTGTGACAAATAAGAGAAGTGAAGAGCAGTGGATAGTAAAAACTGAGTTTTTCATTTTGCATATAGATACATCTTTGTAAGCAGTGTTTAAGGTATACTGTTTTAGTCAATGGGTAATAAAGTGGACAATAGGTTGGATATTTCACTCAATTCTTTAGATAATTTAGACCAAAATGGAAAGTTCCCCCAAATGTATTGCTACACAGCTGCTTTATTTTGCCACAAGAAACTGGATACCTGAGTATATTACATCATCACCTGTCCGCCTCTTCCCACATACACTTTTTATATTTTATCAAACAGCTAAAATGTTCTGCAGTATTAAATTACTTACTGTTCTCTACTTCAAAATTAACATTTTATCTCAGTAAACTTTGCATTAAAAATTAGGATTTGAGCCCTGGCTGGTGTGGGTTAGTGGATTGAGCACTGACCTGCTAACCAAAGGGTCACCAGTTCAATTCCCAGTCAGGGCACATGCCTGGGTGGCAGGCCAGGTCCCCAGTAGGGGACATGAGAGAGGCAACCACACATTGATGTTTCTCTCTCTCTCTTTCTCCATCTCTTACTCTGTCTGAAACTAAATAAATAAAATCTTTAAAAATTAGGATTTGGAAATGTACTGGATTTTGAAAGTTGTAAAGCAGTAGTAACTACAAAGCATGGTATTTTTTGTATAAATGCAACACAGTAGAAAGCTCAGAAGTAGAACTGTACTTACATGGGAGCTTGGTGGCACTAAAAATGTTGGGAAAAGTGTGGAATTTATTTCTTTTTGGACTTTTTAAAGAAAAAGTTTTTATGAAGTACATTTCATTGAGACATCTGTTTTTTTTGGAATTTAATATAAAGCCTTTTGATACAAGTAACATCCCTATGGAAAAAATAGAATGAGATCTTTATCTTACCTCACATACAAAAATAAATTTCACATGAGTGAAATATCTATAAATGCAAAACCTAAATTTTAAAATGGGAGGAAATGTAGGAGAATATGCTTATGACATTTTAGTAGGGAAGCTATTATAAAGTCGGAATAAGATTTTATATACTACAGACAAAAGATTAATATTTAAAATATATTATCAGTAAGAAAAGGGCAGCTCTGGCTTGGTAGCTCCGATGGTTGGAGCGTTGTTACATACACCAAAAGGTTGCAGGTTTGATCCCCAGTTAGGGTGCCTATGCGAGGCAAGCAATCAATCTTGACCTGTCTCTCTCCTTTTCCCTTCCTCTCTCTGTAAAAACTCATTTAAAAAATAAAGACATATCCTCAGGTTAGGGTTAAAAAAAAGGAAAGAAAACAACAGTATAATAGAATAATGAACAAAAAAAAAAATGAACAGACAATTCATGGAACGGGAAACCCGAATGACTAATAGCTGTCAGAGAACATGCTCAAATGAGCAAAGTTTAAAATGCATGGTCATGTCAAGAGTTGCAAAGATCTTGAGGAAATGGTAACTGATTTACTGTTGGATGATATGCAAATATTAGTTGCTGCAGTTTATCACTGCCAAAGAAGAGCATTGAGACATGTTTAGTAAAACTGGAAATGCCCAGCCTAGTAACCCAGCAAATACACTACTCATAGCATATTTATAATATTTAGAAAGTAAAAATCACCTAAATTTCTTTTTTTTAAAAATATTTTATTATTTATTTATCTTTAGAGGGGAAGGGGGGGAAGGAGAGAGGGAGAGAAACATCAGTGTATGGTTGCCTTTTGTGCGTCCCCTGCTGGGAACTGGCCTGCAGGGAACTGGTCTGCAACCCAGGCATGTGCCCTGACTGGGAATCGAACCGCGATCGTGTGGTTCGCAGGCCCGCGCTCAATCCACTGAGCTACACCAGCCAGGGCTTCTAAATTTCAATAAGTAGGGAACAGATAACTAAAATGAGATGTGTTTGTACAATGAAATACTACATTGCATTAAATGGAATGTATACCAACAAGGCTAGAACTCAAAAAAAAAAAAACCCAACCAATGCTAATAGAGGCAGCAAATTGTAAAATGATAGAGTATAGTATCATTCATATAAAATTTAAAGATGCATTTAATATTTTTCCATAGAACAAATATATATGAAGCTATACAGAAAATAGATTAAAGATAGTATATTACAATTATGATACAAGTCTATTCCAGGTAGAAGAAAGAAATGGAACTTAGGGATGGGGCTAAAGCCATTTTTAACTTTATCTCTAATACTTTAATCCTCTTATTTTGAAATAGGTTTGAAACAGATATGTCAAAAAGTTAGCAGTTGTCATTTCTGGGTAGGGGAGTGGAGTACACAGGTATATATATTTTTAAATTTTTTCCTGTAAATTAAATGATCAAGTATTGCACTATGAATTAGAATAATTCTGTAATTAATTAAATATTCTTAAAATCAAAAAATGGCTACATAGAAAGTCTTGGGAGAAAAGGGTGTGTATACACATAAGCTTTAATGTTTAACTCGTTATTTAACTTGGGAAGTATATAAACAGAAGACAACGTTGCAGGTCTTTATGCTGTGTAGCCCAGGATATGATCATGCTCACCTTAATCAATGCTTGTGAAGTACCTGTATGATAGAATTATGTTAAGAATTCTTTCACAATGAAAAAATCATTAATGAACTCTTATTTGTGGGAATAAACTAATTTTTGGATTTGGCACATTTATTTGACAGCGTTTTATCAAACATCTTGCATCTAGAGATTCTTTGTTCACTTTACAAAACTTCCTGGATAACAGTGTCACAGAAGGTAAGATGATTCTTTGATGGAAATATTCCTATGTGGCAAGGAAGGAAAAGTTCTAAAAACCATGCCTGGTTTTTAAAAATGATTTCAAATTATAAAGGGTGTTGTGTGTTGTGTACATTTTATGATGGTAGATAATTTCTAAGTTTATTAATACAGCACACTTGCATGCTTACTGAGAACAATGGAATATGCTGTCTGCTAAACATAGAGGAAACTGAACTCTCCAGGTATCAATATTTACTCAGGAAGGCCTTCCTTGTTCAGTCTACCAAAAACTGTGGCACAACCCTATGTCCCTTCTCTGCCTTAATTTTATTTTTTGCACTTCTCCTTGACTAACCATCTCTGTGTGTTTCTTTTCTTTTGCTTGTTGATCAGTTCCACATTGGAATGTAAGCTTCATGAGGGCAGGGATTTTTATCTATTTTGTTTACTGCTGAACTTCCAGCATCTAGAACAGTACCTGTCTCAGTAGGTATTCAGCAATTGTTGAATGAATAAGTAAATTCAATAATGAATCAAAATATGTTGAGAAGTTGAATTTCCATCACGGCCTTTTTTTCTCCATTTTCCTTATGAAGCATGAGTCAAGGTCATTGCTGCATGGAGGGAGGGTGAGGGAGGTATGACTACAATGAGATGGGGAGTTTTAGGGAAATGCTAAGAATTTACAATAGTTTTTGTAGAAATGTCAAAGAAATTAGTAAAGTTTAATTATTTTCTCTGTTCAGGAATGTCACTGTCAACACCACATCATGAGGTGATATCAAGACTTTTAGGAAATAAAAAATAATATTTAACAGAAAGTTTGAGGAATGTAGGGCTAGATGATTAATGAAGGCCATTCTAGCTTTTGTGCTTCAAAGATATTGTTGAGGTATATCGGTAAATGTGGAGTGAAAAGTCTTTGCATTTATTGACATATATTGCAAATGATTAATATTGGTTTATTAAAAATAACTAAAATATTTTATTTTTAGGCCCTACTATGTCAGCTTTCATCAGACAGTATAGCAGGTACTTGAATGAAAAGTCACTCGCATATAGACTGATTGCATCTGACATCACCAAAACCAAGAGAGGGTCAGTAAATATTATTTATGTGTAATCAAGAAATACTGAAATACATATGTGCAATAATATGTAGTTTGTAAAAAACATAGATGATTTCTTTAAAAATTTTTTTCATAGCTGTATTTCAATAGGCTGATTTCACAGTACTTCTCAAACTTTTAATTATTGATGTTATAAATTTCTTTGGTCTTTTACAGGATGGATGGTATGATGAGAACTATGAATACTAAAGAGCTGCTCAACACACTTCAAATAATTCAAATTCAGTTTGATGCTCTTCTTAATTTTAACGTAAGACCTTTATAAATCCTTTTTTAAAACTTTGGTAAATGGCATTGTTTAACTGTAGGTGGGGGAAGAAATTTTGTGAAACTGTGCTGGTAACTGATTACTCTTTTACTTAACTTCCAGGCAACTCCTGATGAACTAACTAATGGTATAATACATGCTGCTTTCATGCTCCTCTTTAAGGATTCTCTTTGCCTCTTTGCAGCCTACAATGAGGGAATCATTAATCTGCTAGGTAGGCTAAAGAATAAACATTACATGTCTTAAAAAACTGGTAAATCAATTTATTTGTAAAAATTTTCTATATCTATATTTAGATTCATATTTGTTTCAGGTTAAAAATAGGAGATATTTGCAAGGTCATAAGTGCTCACATATTTCTGGGAAATTTACCAGGGAATCAATATAGGTTGCCATACTTATGCATTAGTCATTAAGGCCCACTCCACCAAGGTCAAAATACAGTTCAGACTTTTCTAAGAAAATATTGCCTATAACATAAGTCATTGTTATTGATTATATAGAAGCATATATTTCATAGACTTTTCAGGAATTATCTGTCATTGTTTTGCCCTCACAAATGATTCATTTCATAGTTACGGTACTCCAGATTTCATTGATGACAACTTGAGATGTTTTTTGTATACTGAAGTGTAAGAACCTGTACATTTGTAGAATTATAAAAGAATAGTAAACACAGCCCCTTCCCTGAGAGAGCTTCAGAGTTTTCAAAAAGATTACAGACTAGAAGTTACAGAAATTGATACTAAACTACCCAAACAACCTCTGTATGCTATTAAATTTTAGATGTATTTCCAGCACCAGTGTTTGGCATGCAGTAGTTGCTCCATAAAAATCTGTTACATATAAATTGAGTAGTACTGTTGCTTTTTAAAACAGAATAACTGGATTAAAACTATAATTATTTGGAACAAGTTAAAATGACATCCAGAAGCAGCTTAAAATAGCATCATCAGAATGGAGTGAAACTTGAAAGTTGCTAAGTTATTGGCTTCTACATGATAATATATTTTTTCTATTTTTAGGCAAGTTTTTTGACATGAGGAAGAGCCAATGTGAGGCAAGTTTGGATATTTACGTCAAATTCCTTGACAGAACAACCAAACTGGCACAGTTTCTGAAAGTTGCAGAGGTATACAACTCTATTTCTATCCCAGGCTTTTCTGTTTTATATAGTAACTTAATATCCAAAATAACTATCCCCCCTACCACTATCACCATGGAAACACACAGAAATTGGTAGCAGTTTAAACTATTTTGTAAACAGTAAAGCTAAAAACTAAAATTAAGTACCTCAAATATACTTTTCTTTTTAAAAATATTTTTAAAAGATTATTTATTTATTTATCTTTAGAGGGGAAGGAAAGGAGAGAGGGAGAGAAATATCAATGTGTGGTTCCCTCTCATGCGTCCCCTGCTGGGAACTGGCCTGCAACCCAGGCCTGTGCCCTGACTGGGAATCAAACCTTGATCCTCTGGTTTACAGGCCTGCGCTCAATCCACCGAGCTACACCATCCAGGGCTCAAATGTACTTTTCAGTGCACTGATACACAAAAGCAATCTGACAAGGATTTCTGTTTGCAGCCATGATGATAACCAGTCACAAGCTCACCCTCTCAGCAGCAATGACTCTAACATTGGGAAAAAATATATATGATGTCTTTTCAAGTAGAACAGGTCTGTGGTCAGTGAGAGAAAGAAACACATAACGTGAGCCCCATATCTACCCTGATACTTAGAAGAACCCAAGCAGGATAAATACAAAGAGAACCATGTCTAGGCAACTGATAGTAGAACTTCATAAAAACGGGGAAAAAAGACATATTACCCATAGGAGAACAACATGAATAATAGCTAACTCTGACTCTAAAAATTAGAACACATTTGTATGATATCCAGACAGCAAAGACTCAATGTCTGACAAGTCTTTTGTTTTATAGTTTTATCCTTAGGACAAGTATAAGGTTGTGCTTAAGTGTACAAGGGCTACTTTATTTAGCCCGATGTTTTTCTTGCTCTGTTGGGTTGGCCAGAAAGTCCATTTAGTTTTTTTCTGTAAAATAAGAGACATTTTTTTCATTTGCACCAATAACTTTATTGCTTTGGCTATTTTGAGTATGTTGGCTATCTCCCACATGGTATAGCGTTGATTGTTCTCAATGTCTCTATTTGATTGCTATCAACTTCAACTGGTCTATCTGACGATGGAGCATCTTCCAGTGAGAAATCTCCAGCATGAACCTTCACAAAACACTTTTTAAAATATATGTTTTATTGATTATGCTATTACAGTTGTCCCATTCCCCCCTTCACTTCCCTGCACCCCCATCTTTCCCCGATTTAGTTCATGTCCATGTGTCATACTTATAAGTTCTTTAGCTTCTACATTTCCCATTCTATTCTTACCCTCCTCCTGTCTGTTTTCTACCTACTGTCTGTGCTACTTATTCTCTGTACCTTTTCCCTCTCTCTTCTCCTCCCACTCCCCTGTTGCTAACCTTCCATATGATCTCCATTTCTGTGGTTCTGTTACTGTTCTAGTTGTTTGCTTAATTTGCTTTTGTTTTTGTTTTTGTTTTAGGTGTGATTGTTAATAATTGTGAGTTTGCTATCATTTTACTGTACATAATTTTTATCTTCCTTTTCTTAGATAAGTCCCTTTAATATTTCATATAATAAGGGCTTGGTGATGATGAACTCCTTGAACTTGACCTTATCTGACAAAAGCACTTTATCTGCCCTTCCATTCTAAATGAGAGCTTTGCTGTATAGAGCAATTTTGGATGTAGGTCCTTGCCTTTCATGACTTGGAATACTTCTTTCTAGTCCCTTCTTGCCTGCAAGGTCTCTTTTGAGAAATCAGCTGACAGTCTGATGTGCTCTCTTTTGTAGGTAACTGTCTCCTTTTCTCTTGCTGCTTTTAAGATTCTCTCCTTATCTTTAATCTTGGGTAATGTATTTTGATGTGCCTTGGTGTGTTCCTTCTTGGGTCCACCTTCTTTGGGACTCTCTGAGCTTCCTGGAAGTCTATTTCACAAAACACTTCGGCACATTTGATCAGTCACAGCACCTTCTTCACACACTGTACAAATCTTTTCTTGTGTTTCAGTTTTTACCTTTCTTAAAACAATAGAACATAATATACTGAAATGTTTCTTATTTTTCATCTTAAATATTAAAATGGCTACACAAAAATTAACCAATTTTTTAAAAAAATATTTATTTATTTATTTAGAGAGGGGAATGGAGGGAGAAAGGGAGAGAAACATCAATGTGTGGTTGCCTCTCACATGTCCCCTACCAGGGATCTGGCCTGCAACCCAGGCATATGCTTTAGACAGGGAGTCAAACCAGCGACCACACAAACCCTTTGGTTTGCAGGCTGTCACTCAATCTACTGAGCCATACCAGTCAGGGCAAAAACTCACCAATCTGATAAGTTGTTTTTAAATGCAAACTGGTATGACAGCTGTCACAATACACTCTTAACAAAATTATTTTAAATGAAGTTAAAGACAACTAAGTGCTACTAGAGTCATATTTCAGAAAAAAACCAAATGAACATTTTGGCTAACCCAAGTAGATAGGTACCAGACTAGCAATGCATTTGTGCTTTGGGGGCTTTTTCTCTGTTGTGGATACATTGGTCTCATAGTTACTTTCTTTGTTGCCATGCTCTGCTGTAATGTCTGCTTCCGCCCACCCTGTTGTGAACTCAGGAAGTTGGAATTGACCAAAACGACATTCCATATATTACTCAGGTCAGTGTGTCTCTCCTGTGTATTTAAATGAGCTTTCTATCTTTATGTTTGTGTGTTTATTATATTAATTATAATTTGAGAATCCATCCTTTGCCATACACTTATATGTATATTATCTATTTTTTAATTTTAATTTTTAAAATACATTTTATTTTTTTATTTACAAAATTTTAAAGATTTTATTTATTATTAGAGAGAGGGGAAGGGAGTGTATTTTCATTTTCATATGAATAATATATGTATATAGCAGCGATTTCAATGTTTTTCTTCTGAAGGCACCCATAAAGTAATTAGTAAAATTCTGCGGTACACCAAAAAAAAAATGTATCTTTGCCTATCTGACCAAAAAATAGGTATAATTTTGATCTGTTGATGCTGGAAAGCTGTTGTTGTATTGTCTGTTATCATTTTTTTATTTGGCAATCTAAGGAAGAAGAGGTCAGTGCTCCTGACTAAACAGATATTGCATGTTTTAAAAATTCTTATGGTATACTGGTTGAAAATTGCTGGTATATACACATAAACTTATGTCTTCTGAATAGGTCTGTGAACCGTTGGTCTTATGAAAAGGCTGTTTCCTTCTGAGTGCTAAATGGTGTCTCATAGTATGAGTATAACAACTAGATGATGCTTTTTAAGTGCAGAAAACTGATTAGTGGAAACAGCCGAATATTTGGAATAATAAACTTAAGTTTGAGGTTGTCTTGTCCCCCTTTCAGGTGTGTAATCTCAAACAACTCATTCCATTCTCTATGCCTCATTTCTGCAGCTGCAAAATTGGTGTAATAGTATTGTCTGTCTTGTGGCAGTGTTGTAGAAATCAAATGAACTCAGGTTTTTTCCTTCCCTAGAAGCTGGTCATGAGGAATCCCTCACATGGCAATGGGTGTGGATGTGAGGTAGAGTTGGAAATGCAGCAGGTGGGGATGAAACGAGGGTGTGGCATCCTGCTCACACAGCCTGCTTGTGGCCTCTGGACCTACCTGTGCTCCATTCCAGCTGTACCATAGGGCTGGACAAGCCAGAACCTGTACAGAGACTTTTATTGCTCTGGGCTCCAAACTAATGTGGCAGGATTTTAGATCACCTGGGGCTATGGACCAAAGCAATCTTCCCTGGTGTGGGAACATGTTGTCTCCAGAACCCAAAGAGGCCTACCAGATGTTGTGTTTCTTCTTAAATGGTGGAAGGTGCTCGGTGCACTACTTTATGTTTTGGGCAGGATTTTCTGATATACTCTTGGCCGCTGAAACCTTATACATTTTACTGATGTAGAAGGCTTCTGAATCTTTTATCAGCTACCCTCTGGAGCATGTGTAGCTTTCTAAGATTTATACTGTTCTGGCCACTTCTTGCTCATCTGATTCAGTCAACATGATGTCATGGATACAAGTGGATTCATGTGACTTTCTGAGAGTTAACTAAATGGTCTAGACGTCTTCTGACCGTATTATGACAGAGGATTGGGTCGAAACTGTAAAATGTATACTGTTGTTTATTCTCTGTGCCTACCAAATTTTTCTCATCCACACTTTTGATAGCAATGGAAAGTAGAACATTTACCAAACTTTTAGCCACCTATAACATAGCCGAGACTGTGTTAACTCATCTCTACGAAAGAAACTGTAGTGGCTGGCACCATGGCTGCAGTTGAATTATTACTTGATTGAGTGTGTTGTAGTTTGTCATTCTCCAGGGCCCGACTACTTTGGGGGGCCATATTGGTGAATTACATGGAGATCATGGGGATCATCATCCCTGCATCCTTTTTATCTTGAAGATTGCAACTAAATTCTTCCATCATCCTAGGGGGCGATCTTGTTTTTTCTTTACTATTAGTCCTGGAGGGCAGCTGGAGGCTGTTTCAGAGGCATGTCCCTACCTGGGCTCTTCTGTGACTTAACTGTAGTTAGAGTCCTAGAGACCAGGAGGGGAATAGGGGCAGATCCTGATGGAGTATATAACTTGTGGGGTATCATCTCCAACAAAGTGAGGGGGGAGAACACTGAAGGCTCAGAGGTTTCTAGGGAATCTGGAGGCTTAGGACTTTCAGGCCATCCCTGCAGCTCTCCCCATTTCATAAATTAGGGCCCTTATTCTTTATTCAGTCAGGTCCCTGACCCTGGTGTGGCACACCTGCCTCAGTGGTGACTGGAGGAATGTACACTATTCAGACAGAGCCTGGCTTAGGTGGTAGTCATGAATATGGGAAGAAGCCTGTGAAGAGAGAGGTACTAGATTGAGGTCCCGTAGGGAATGAGAGGATATTGGATGCAGAACACAAGTGGAAGCAATGGCCTCAAATAAGAGGATAGAGGAGGCAAGGAGTAGAGGATGGTTGCAAATACAAATAAATATTAGGTGTGGTTTCAGAGAAGGAGGGAGTTTCTGCCTGATGTCTATTCATTAATATATACACCTCTTAGGTGTCAGCACAAGCATTCCTCAAGTACAGATGAGGGACTTGTGCATAGACACTGAGCCCCACAGAGGGGTCCACAATGGGAACTACTGTTGGATAAGTCGATGCATGGCTTCCTGAATGAGAAGTCAGATAACCAGGCAGAGAGACAGTGAGAATATCTGAGTTAGTAGGGGAGAAGATGGAATCGAATTGCTCAAAGGCACCATAACCAGTGAATTTCAATCAACATTCATTCACAAACACGTGCTTGATGCCTATCAGGAGGAAACTACTACAATGAATGAGACACAATCTGAGTCCTTGAGTTCCTAGAAAAGACAGAACAAAGACTACAAATACATGATTGGATAGCTCCCCAAGTGGAGTTTTCGTATTTTTCTCCACAATGAACTCAGTCCCTTAAGGCAGGTGGGAAAGGTTTCTTTGCTGAGAACCACAGCTCAGCAACTATGGGGGCACAGGCAAGCATTAACTAACCTGGGCTCAACCTCCTTCAGTTCTCAGTGCCTGTAACTGGATCTCTAGGGGAATATTTGACCAGAGGAGCTCCGAGGGGGAGGCCCATGTTTCCCACTGGGCCACCCTCTCTCCTTGCCCTAGGTCTGGTCTGTAGGACACCTGAATCAGAAACAAAATAGGTGGCTGTCAGAAAGGCTGCAGGAGATAGGTGAGGGTCTTTGTTGGTAAACTTCCTTGCAGATCCCCATTCCTTCCTCTGTAATTCATCTCCTTTTAACTAAAAGCTTTAAAAAAGACTTTATTTATTTTCAGAGAGGGGGAGGGATAGAGAAACAAACACTAATGTGTTAGAGAATGTCGATTGCTTGCCCCTTGCAGGCCCCCAGCCAGGAAGTGGGCTGGCAACCCAGGCATGTGCCCTGACCATAAATTGAACCTGCAACATTACACCTTGTAGGATAATGCTCAAGTAACAGAGACACTCCAGTCAAGGCCAGAAGAGCTTTTTTTTTTTTAAGATTGTTTACTTATTTATCATTTATCTTTAGAGGGGAAGGGAAGGAGAGAGGGAGAGAAATATCAATGTATGGTTGCCTCTCGTGCATCCCCTGCTGGGAACTGGCCTGCAACCCAGGCATGTGCCCTGACTGGGAATCGAAATGGCGATTGTCTGGTTCACAGGCCTGTGCTCAATCCACTGAGCTATACCAGCCAGGGCTCAGGAGAGCTTTTTTAAAAAAGTTGTTCAATTACAGTTGTCCAAATCCCTTCACCTTGCTCTCCTCTGCCCTGCCCACCCCCCTAGAAGAGCTTTTTACTTAGTACTGTGGTCTCTGGCCCTCAGCCAGTACTGAAGGTCATTTGCTGTGGCTTTGCGTTGGCAGAGCCGCTCCCGCTACATGCTTTCTTGAGTGCTCTGGAAACCCTGGAATGGACTGCAATGCAAGGCTCTGTAGGAAGGGAGGGAGCCTAGAGAGATGGAAACTAAGTCATCTTCACCTTTGCCCCACTCAGTTGGTCTCTGAGAGAGGTCTACTCAAAACGATGCACAGATTCAAAGAGCATTTTCAGCCAATCTGCTGCTACATCCCTCAAATGGTGTTAAGGTCTTCCTCTGTGACTGTATGCTCGCCAGTTTCTCCATGTGCTTCCAACAGTCTTTATGTGAGTAGCTGCTGTTAGGTGTAGGCTCACCACTTTAAGGCTCACTCAACCCCTTTTGTTTTCTTATGAGGCACTCTTCCTGGTTTCCTCAGCTAATCCTTTCCGCCTTGGTTTCACTGACATTGTCTGGGGCTCACAGAGCCTCCTCCTGGGAGCAGCTGTGTCCATCCCTCTCCTTTCACCCTTTTCGTGAGGTTTGTGTTGCCTGTGACTCACGTGGAAAGAAGGGTCTGCTCTGTCTGCAGTTGATGTATTTTTACTTTTCACTAGAATAGTTCAAACATACATCTGTGGGCCCCTCATCGAAACTCCAGGGGCACAAATTCGGAGACCTATTCACGTTTCATGTGCCTGGCTGCATTTTCCCAGCCTTCCCACAGTGCTTAATGGTTTGGGTGGGTGGAGGGTAACTGTGTGCTTCACTGAAGAGGTCTTATGGCCTCACAGCTACCCTTTCCTTGTAAAGCGCCTTGGTGCATTTTACATGTTCAGTAATTCTAAGCAGTGTTCTGCTAAATCACATCTGCTGACATTGGGTGGCAGCATTTGCACAAATTTATAGCTGTCTGTGAATTGTCTGAAAGCACATCAGATGGAAAAGAATGTTTCTAATCAATATTGTTCAAATATTGATATTTATTTTATCTTATTTCTTTGGTGTTAGTTATTTTGCTATATACTTATTGAATGACTGAGGGAATGAACCAGAAATACCTGGCCCATGTGCCAAATGTGTGTTTGCCCTGGTGACACCGACAGTCAGTCCCCTGATCATTTTGAAGGCCCTCTACCCCTTCCTGCCCATTTTGTCTGTTTGAGCCTTTGAGGTTCACCCTGGGCCTCAGGCTTTCTGCTCTCTCCACTGCAGAGGGGCCTGTGGGCTCTGTCGAGGGACAGTTTCTCTATTTCCTCTGTGCTCAGGGGCTGTGTGTTGTTATCGTGCATCCCTGGG